TCTAAATGTTTGGCCACAGCTGTAAACTACACTATCAGTGCTTGTTCACTCTTGACAAGAATTATTTTCTAAATTTACTTTGTGCATTTACAGGTAAACAATATCTAATATTTTATCTAAATGACTGCTTTGTCTTTGAAAAGGTGAAGAGCCTGAGGCCGGTGACGGTCCAGTTCTACATCCTCACGGCTCATGGCTCACAGGATAAGGCCACATTCTTGTCCTGCCAGAAGAGAAGAGAAACTTCAGAGTCTTCACGCAGTTCAACCACACCTGTCATATTCCGTATGACAGGGGTCTCAAACTCCAGTCCTCGAGGGCCGGTGTCATGCAACTTTTGCTAATGACCTACTAGGTGTGTTGCAACAGGGACACATGGAAAAGTTGCAGGACAGCGGCCCTCGAGGACTGGAGTTTGAGACCCCTGCTGTATGGTGTTCATGCAGTTTTCTACCCCACAGTTACAGCATGTCTGACTGCCTGCTCAGCATATGCAAAAATATATGATGAGTTTAAGCATGTGATGAGAAAGGTCTTCCATTATGGCGTTTGTCATCACATGTCACAGGCATCTGGATGATCATCTGGAATAAACAACAAACTAAAAATGTGTTACTTCATCTTTTATCTTTTTTTTTTTTTTATTGTTCTTATTTTACATTTTACATTGTTAGGCATCAGGTTTATTTAGGTAGTAGTCCTTTCCAAATTCTTTCCCTCTTCCATGTTACTGTGTCAGCCTATCAGCATCTATTAGGGGTTAGGAGTGGAACAGAAAGTAAGGAAACCCAAAGTGCCATTAAAACCAGGAGAGGTTATTATATTTCAAAAGAAATGACCTCAATGCCATATTTTATTTAGAGAGCACTTTGCAAAATAACACATTCTTATAATTTTACCCTCAGATGAGCCAAGCTACAACTGTCAGGGAAGGTGATGTACACTGTAAAAACTGTGATTTGGGTTCATTAATATCTAATAGGAAAGTAATAGTAAGTATTACTCAGTAAAAAACATGTATGTGTTGTTTTAATTAAATCTAAACAAAATTAAACATTTTTGAGATGTTCAGTTATTTAAATTTACGCAATTTTGTTTGGTGTAAATTAAGCAATAGTTTGTTGAGCAGATTTAACAAAAATGCATGAGTACCATGAAAAATTAAGAAATCTAATTGAAAGCATTTTCATTTCAATCATTCTACACCCGTAGTCCATTGTGCCATGTGCAGGACACACACGGTTCAGCAGTGGATGATCTCCATTTTGTCCGAGGTAAGATTATCTTAATTTGTTCGAATATACAACACGTTTTAAACAATAACGTATAGCAGTTTTAAGTTAAAGTTCTAAACAGTATGATACATCAAAATTAGATTAATAATGACCACTGTAATGACAGTATCGTATTTTTACGCAAAATGGCACGAAGTGGACTGCTAGCATAAGGTCACTTTCCAAGCCTTTGCGTCTGTGTTACTTC